TGCTGAACACTTACCTGTAGAAAATCCAAAGTTCCTATCCGTGAAACAGGAGGGTTCCAGGCAGAATATTTGAAGGCATAGCATAGTGCTATATCTTAAAGTCTTTGGTCTTCATGACAGCCAGGTGGTCGAGGTAGAAGTAACTTCACCAACCTAGCAGATTCAGTGGCAGCATGGAGAAGTGAAATTGGCTGCCATCAATAATCCTGAACTTTTCAATTACCAAGGGATATAGTTGAAGTGCATGACCTGCTTAGAAAGAATGTCACTGGAGTTGTGTAAGATTTTCAGAAGTAAAACTGTAGCTAAACATGTGATAAAACTTTCTCATTGCTGGTTTGTCTGCAAAGCTTACACACATTAAGATGATAACTGAGAACCGTTGCTGAACTTTGAATTCATCTAATGAGGGCAATCAATTTACCTGGGTTTGAGAGACTTGCTGAAATTTACTGTCGTTCAAGCATGCTTTACTCTGACTCTAGGGAGTCTGTCTTTCCTGGTGGATGGGCGAAAATTGTTCCATGTAGACTATATTTTTTAGGATGGCTTGAACCAATCTGGCCACTTACTATCACTAAAAGTGGGGGTCTTGCTCTTTGGACCAGCTCTGATGTTCATTGCATCCCTCTGTGAGCCAGTTTAACCTCCTCACGTAGCCCGAAACCAACCCAGCAGAAAAATCTGGGTGATCTTCTGCTGGACTAATAGGTTAAATCCGATCATAAAGACCTTTGATAAGCACTGGGCTGACATACTGGAGGGGATGGGATGCTGGTCAGGTAGGTTCAAAGGGAGAAGGAAGGGCAGGAGACAGGGAACGGGGCCGGGGAGGGTGGGGTCTGTTACCGTGATAACAGGACAGGCTGAGATGTGCGTGTGAAGTAAGCGTTGCATGAAGCTGTTACTTTCTCACACCATAAAGCTTTGCTGTGCTTTGAGTATGCTGTAGAACAGCCATAGTTCTACAACTGAGAATGGGCCTGGTGGTAGAGGGCATGAGGTGGTTTCCCAGAGCTGAAGCCTTTGACAGTGCTGGCTGTTCTACATAGAACATAGCTAGTTAAAAAGTATTTGACAAATAAAACATCTGTGAAGAAATAAAGCTTTGGAGGGCTGTGAAATTAGGTCAGATATAGCAAATAAACTGAGTGAGGGAAGAAAGGAATGGATGGAAAAAACTGTTTTGCTATTTATGACATAAAAAGGGTGACCTCATCACAGTCTACAACTTCCTGAAGGGGGACAGTGGAGGGGGACGTGCTGATATCTTCTCTCTGGTGACCAGTGGTAGGACATGAGGAAATGGAATGAAGCTGTGCCAGGGGAAGTTCATACTGGACATTAGGAACAGGCTGTTCACTGAGAGGGTGGTCGGTCACTGGAACAGGCTCCCCCGGGAAGGAAGTGGTCACAGCACCAAGCCTGTCAGAGTTCAAGGAACGTCTGGACAATGCTCTTAGTTATATGGTTTAGTTTTAGGTAGTTGTGTGAGGAGCAGGGGGTTGGGCTCAACGGTCTGTATGTGTCCCTTCCAACTTGAGATATTCTATAATTCTGTGAAAGGGTTTTTTTCTAAATTTGTTAACTGAGTCACCAGAAACTTCCTGTTTTGAAATCGGACTTAAATTTTTAAAAAGAAAATTTAAAAAGCTTTTAGAAAATGTGTACTATAAGCCAGTGGGTATCAAAGTGTTTTTGTTTGGTAAGAAATGAAGTTTTCAGATTGACTGACATTCCTCAAAAGAAAAGGACGAATGTTGTTTTGTCTGTCATATGCCCTTAGTTAAGTGGTATAACTATGGGCATTTCATACTGGTTTCTGCATTTTGTGTTGTAGATCAGTGGTCTCCAAACTTTTTTGATTGTACACCCCATGAGTAAAATATTTTGGATGTACACACACAATTTATGTATATTTATTTATAAGTTATATACATGTGCTACCGTACTCAAGTATTATGTGCATTATAAAACGTATACAAAAATGGAAATTAAAAAAGGATAAGGATTAAGTAAACAGTATTTTAATTTTCTACTTTTATTAATGGTCCAAAATATTTTCTTCCTGCACCACAATGGATTGCCTTGCGCATACCCCACTTCGGAGACCTCTGATGCAGATAATCCATTTGAAGATTCTCAAAATGCACAGGAATGTGGAAGCTAGGGGCACCTGACTGCTGCAGAGTTTTCTGTTCTGCCAGATTTCATTCTTCTGTTGAATTACCAGACAAGCAATCACATTCAGATATTTGCTGAAGACAATGTTGAAAAGAGGGAAAAAATCTCCAGATGTGGGAAAACATGGATGAGTGAAAGGGTGGGAGGGAGTTAGGACTGAGTATAAGAAACCTGATTCTGTGATGTAGAAGAAACTGCCAATGAAATGGTCATGAAACAAGGAAACAAACTTGAAACAGGGCTATATAGCTGGAGAGGAAGCTGTGGTATGTTGTAATAACTGAGTCAGATCCTGTTGGTTGCCAAGGAGTAATGCTGAAGACCAAATTAATTAAGTCAGTGCATTATTCATGGCCTATGACGTGCTGCTTTGCAAGGGCTACTTGGCTAAACTGTGCTCCTACATCATGGTTAAAGGTTTAGCATCTGAGGTAGTTATGTTGTTACATCATGTCAAGACATCAGATGTAGCTGTGCTTTCTTTGGTGCTGTTTGCAAGCTGTGTGGGGCTAGAATATTTTGCATGTTCTGTGGGGAGTGTGAAACCTGATCCTTATCACCACAGCTATAAAATGAGAGGAGAACACTAATTTCATATTCGGGCTCTCTCACTGCATAGACACAAGCAAATAGCAGCCCCCTGCCCTGGTCCAGGCTGGCTTCTCGATCACGTTCTTTAGTCTTGTCATCAAGCTGGCGTAAGTGAGCCATAGGTAAAGCAGTAAACCTGCTTGGATTTTAAGGATACAAATCACAAAAATACTTCAGGCCTATCCAGGAACCTTGTGAGAACCAGACTAGGGACATCTTTCTTTTTCTCATTGTCTACAGAGTTGAGTGCCACGTGTCACCATATGCTGCTCTCCTAGACTGTCTCATGGCATCTTATCCTAGGTTGGAGTGATGCTGAGCTAGAGACTGGTGGAGGGGAGGGATAATGCTATCAAAATAGGAGCAATGACATAGTGCCTTGGTATATCCAGTTGGTTCCCCTTACACCGTTGCTCTGTGTGCACCAAGATGGAAACACCGGCATAAGTGGGACTTGTGTATGCTTTATTGGAAATCAGCCTGGTTAGAGGTTGATGCATGTTGCATGCAGTGAGTTAGGGCGTGTAGTCTCGAACTTGCTGGGTTCTAACTCCCTGCGGTGTAACTTCCCTTTGCCTTCAGTTTCCTTGCTTGTCAAATAAGAACTCTATTTGCAGTCCGCAAAAGAAAAAACTCCAAAAACACCTGGCGTTACTGTGTGGAAGAAATATCAGCAGCCTCACATGCATGTGTGGTGCACAGCTGATACTCAGATTATAGACCTGCACCTTTGCATAAAAATGGTGTCTTAAGTGCCTAGTTACGTGATCAAAAGTCATGGAGTCAGAATAACCTCACAGGTTACCAGCTGCTTAGCAGGTGGCTGGTAGTAAGTGATAAATTTTCTTAACCTGCCTCAGTTGCAGAGGAATATGTCTAAC